TTGGTTTTTCTCCCTTCCTTTCATCGTTCGGTGTGACGCACATTTGCACTGATTGTTCAACGTGAAACTCGGATGAAAGCAAGGTGCAAGAAACCAAGGGTGTCATTACCGCGGTGGATGACGTCAAAAACCTGACTTTTCAAGGAGCGATATCTCGGCTAATATCAAACGTAGAAAGTTGCTGTTTAGACAGGTCTCATTATTTTTAGCTAATTTACAAGAATCAAGCACCAAAACACGATTCTGTGACCAGCACAACTGACCCAAAACGTATATTTTCATTGCGGTGTCTCAAATGTTCCGCTCATATTTTATTTTTCCGAGGGAGAAGCAAGTCAACTTCATAGCTTGAAAGTTATACAGAATATTCTGATATCTTACTATCTTATCTTACTATAGTAAAAAAAACAAGGCCTTTTTTGTGTGTACGTCCGTGTCATTTCGCATTCTCATTGGTCTTTCATTAACCAATCAGAAAACGTCATTGAAAATCCCCGGGAAATTTAAATGTATTCTTCCGTAAAGGAATTATTGATAGGTAGACAGGTATAAAAATGGGATGTATTTCTTCTAATAACCAGGATAAAAGGGAGGATTATTACCTATACAGGATAGTCCTAGAAAAACGGGATGTACCTATATTAATAAACCGGGATAACAGGAAGGATATCGATCATTGTGTATCGATATTCGATACATCGTTTGTTCTAAAGCAGTATTGACTGGGATAAAACGGGATTTCTTCATAATAACCGGGATAAAAGGGAGGAATTTTACATCCTATACGGGAGAGTCATGGATGAACGGGATGTACCTATATTAATAAACCGGGATAACAGGAAGGATATCGATCTTTGTGTATCGATCTTCGATACATCGTTTGTTCTAAAGCAGTATTGACTGGGATAAAACGGGATTTCTTCATAATAACCGTGATAAAAGGGAGGAATTTTACCTATACAGGATAGTCATGGATGAACGGGATGTACCTTTATATATCGATATTGGAGATATCGTTTGATTTAAAGGAGTATTGACTGGGACAAAAGGTGATTTACGGGATTTCTTCATAGTGACCGGGATAATATGCAGTAATTTCACATATATAGTATAGTCATGGATAAAACTGGATGTAACTGTGTTAAGAAACCGGGATAAAACACATCAAATGCATCATGAAACACAGCAAACACATCAAACACATCATGAAACACTTAAAACACAACAAACACATCATGAAACACAGCAAACACATCATGCAACACAGCAAACACATCATGAAACACAACAAACACATAATGAAACACATAAAACACATCAAACACAACAAACACATCATGAAACACAATCAAACACATCAAACACAACAAACACAACAAACACATCATGAAACACAATCAAACACAACAAACACATCATGAAACACAATCAAACAAATCAAACTGATAATCGCATGTATCGATAATCGCATGTTTCGATAACCGCATGTATCTATTCCAAATTCCCCCAAATTTCCCCATTTTTACATATAATTGTGAATCTTCTTTTTTCTCTACTGTTCGAAATAATATTGATTTAATTTTTGATTATTAATAATTGTATGTATTTCATTACAATTCCCCTCTCCTATCTTTGCGACTTATTTTTCATTATCAGTTGCATTACTTCATTATCATGTGATGAAAAACAGCTGAGTTTTTTTCACCTCTCGGTTCACCTCAAGAAAGGAAGCAGAAATCAAATAGTCAAATCAGCTTTAATAAGCTCTCCTTAATGGAAACATTTCAAAATCTTCCACTTGAAAAAAAATATGAGAGCAAACAACGAAGAATTCAGTGAATGGCTGCTAGCAATCGGAAATGGAAAGAAAGAAATAGTTGAATTTCCATCAGAAATGATATGTAATGAAAACATTGTTGATAGCATTTTTAAAGAATATAACGAAGAAACATTAAAAACATCAATACTTCTTGCATCCAGAATTTGTGAAAAAAATAATGTGATGTTTTCATCATTAATTAACAGAATCTAAGAGGGGGTTGGGCCGCGGAGCGGCCAGGGGGCGTAGCCCTCTAGTTAGAGAAAAAAAAATTAAGGAAGTTCTCGAGGAATTACGTTGCCTAGATTTCCAAAGAATAAATGAAGTATGACGGGAAGCACGCAACGTCGCAAACGGAAGCACATGGTTTCTCACTTTAACATTGATATCGATATTATGACTCATTAAGGGCGGAACAAGGGGGGCTGGGGACCTAAACGTACCTCCATAAAATGTGGAGATTTTACCAAGTAAGTACGTGAAATAAATCTCGTCTTTGAAATTTCAGTTCAATTAACCTCTATAATGACAGGTCAAAATACTTGTTCTTGAGGCTACTCAATTTGTTAAAACTCCAGACGGCCCTTTGAAGTTGTGAAGGTCCCTCAAACCCCTTTTTGGATCATTTTATGCGAAACCATTCTGCAGGGATGTTGCTCGATTAACCCCAATTCTTCTTAGGTTTTTGTCTGTTGCTTATCTATCTAGCAAAGGCACAAGAACAATTTTTCCCAACATTTTTTGACCACTTGTTATTCGTGGCGGCCTTTCATATGTTACGTTTCCAACCCAATTTTGATCAAATCGACATTCTCGTATCTCAAATTTTGCTTAACTCATGGATGTGAAACAAAACTGACATGCTACTTTTCATGCTTGATAAGTACTAAAATGTATTTGAGGCTAAACCGAGAGATATACACAGAGTGCAATAGTAAAAACCCCTATTTTGATACTATTTTAAAGACATGCAGGAGAAAAGTCCAAGACCTAGAGTATTAACATGTTCATGGAATACGTAAATAAAATTTACGGCTGAGACGCCCATTTTAAACGCGATTCTTGGATCTGGCAACAGCTCTGGTTCGTCGTTCTCCTCACAAAAGAACGTATCTACAATTCAATTTTACCAAATTTCTCCTCACCAAATGGATTTTTACCAGTTGAATCTTTGGTATTTCTAACTGAAAATTCTACCGATTTTTCTTCTGATCTCATGCAAAAATCAGAAAAAATTCTAACGATAATCGCATAGGTATATACTTGTACAAAATTGAATCATTGAAGTCAATTTTGCAACCCTGGAATGAAGTTACGCTCCTTCGTCTGGGTACTGGGAAACGACGCACGATGGATCAAGTCAATAGGAGAGGTCGGACAAAATTTGGATACTTTAAACGCTTACAACTTCGTTTATACAAAACTTTGAGGTCTTGAAATTGGTTTCATTGGTTTCCTCGTGAAATTTTCTTTTGGAAACACACCTCATAATTTAAAATGTGACGAATTCAATCATCAAAAGTTGCAGTTTTAGTTAAAAATTCCATGCCCGACCTCTCCGATTGACTCGGTCCACTGTGCGGCGCGGCAAGGAAGAGCAAAGCTGACTGGTTCATCGTAGAGTCCCTTTATACGGAGAGTCAAGACAATGTGAATCCATTTCTGATTGGTTCCCGTATTTTAGGCCTTCACAGTGTCACAAACGGGAATAAAGATCACATTTTCACCGATTGCGAAAGCTTATAATCTGGAATGGACCAGGGAATTACGGGTTCGGCAAGGAACAAACGGAATGAGAGAAGGAACGGAGAAAGGAATTCGAGAACGGGCCGATCAAAGATTACAAAAAAGTTCAATTTCTTTAATCTTTATTCCCGTTTGTGACTCCATGATGGGGTGTTGTCTCGACTCTCAGTATAAAGGGACTCTAGTTCATCGCGGGGGCAAGTTTAAAATTTAAAAAAGAGACCAGGGGTGGACGGGACCAGGGTGAGAGACGACATCGTTGCGAGTTCGAGTCGGAATTCCGAGCTGCCAGCGGAGGCTTAAACCAACCGGTCTTCGATCTAAATCTGGTAACTACCCCGGCTGAGAGTTAAGTTGGGACTCGGTTCCGGGACCCCGATGCCGACGCCGACATCCTTGTCGGCGTCGCGACGCCCCGACGACTCAGCCAAATCGCCCGCAGCCGCGGTTATGCGGATGTTACGCCCCCCCCCCCGCCCGCCCGCGCGCCCCGGTCGTAATGGATCCGAACCTCTAACTTTACCTCATATCTAATTCACCTTTTAGCTACAAAGTTACTTAAACTTTCATGAATCCCTAGCTTCATTTATAACTTTCCTCCTCGGGAACTTCTAATTTTTTCCCGCCTCCGCGTCACTCGATACCGCTGACGCGGAGAGGATTTCGAATTTTGTTCGAGCGAGGATGCTCCGCGACGAGACCCCGCTCAGTCTCGTTCGAGTTGAGGATATCGAGAGTTAGGGACGGCCCCTGAAATATTTATTTTTAAGGATATTTATTTCCTCTTGAAATTTTCAGCTAATATAGACTTAATCGTGAGTCAAATCCTCTGAAAAATTGGAGGAAAAACATTCACAGAATTTACTGAAAATTCGTGATTGATCCTAGAGAATTATTTGACAACGTTTGAAAGCCCTTATAGCACTCTGCTTTTGTAACACGAAGGTAGAGTATCGACATAAGAAGAATATAGCCGTTTATTTGCGGCTTTTTCATTGGTCGTTAAAAAAAGACCGCATGGCGCTCTCACGGCCGTAAGTAAGCGAACAAGATGGCAGCATAATGCAATCGTTGAATTAAGGAGCATTACAAAATTAAGTAAAACTCTGGGAGATTGAACTACGAGCCTGCGTTGAGCTGTATTACAAGAGGGAGGGATGCACATATAAAATTTTGCCATTTTTATTCAATTCAAATCGACTATTTAATTTTGACTGCTAGATATTTTTTTGATGTAATTATAACCAGCTGTTTCTGATAATTATATTATTGAAAAACATTCCTCAAGAGAACTCGGACGAGACGAGACAAAGGGTTCAGGAAGAATACTCAAGTTGAGGGAGTTTTAAGGAGTGTTTTAAAATCATCGACATAGTTGCTAAAAAATGACAAAGAAAAATAATACGTGATTAGAAATACAGGACTCAAAACTTACCGTCTTTGTTCATTGCCGATTGGAAGCACTTATTAAGACGACAGGCTCTGCACTGATTACGATGAGTTTTGTCGATCGGACAGCGGCCCTTGCTGTCTCCTTGTGCCTTGCAAGTGTATACCCTGTTCCTATGAATACTTCGCTTAAAAAATCCGGAGCATCCTGGGAAAATTCATTAATTTCTTTTTTAAAAAACCAATTACAAAGGTATAAGTATAGGCACTACGTCATGCTTCTATCGTAACACTTCAAAATGAATTGCTTACTATAGCAAAATTTTGCATGCAAAAAACCTAGAATACATGTGCACACCATACAGGGTTACGGAAACATCCATAAAGCAGGAAATCATATGTACCTGCAAAACACTGACATTAAAAAAAAAAAAAAACAAGAACAAAAACCACAAGTCTGACAAAAGCAAAATGTTTTTCAAATTAATCATAGATGCATTCAAAATATTTGGGATAATAAATGAGTAGGCAACATTTTCAATCGTTGGATTAACCTATTAACTGTATTTGCGGAGGACAAAGACATTCATTTCTTTCCACTTTATTTAAAAGGTCAAGAAAATCTTCGAATTAAATGCATAATAATAACTGCAAGATTATTAATGCCCTGCAGATTTTTCAGTTTCTAGTCTGTCCTTTTCGGTGCATGCTGTTTGTGACAAGTTTGATTTAAAAATCGGATTTTTAAGAAGTTGGTAATATGTATGGATAAGACGGTGCAAAGAACCTTAGATTAATTAATTTCACTGGAAAAAAAAACACATTGGATCTAGATTACAGACTCTTAAAAATATTGACAAGAAAAAGGACTCTTGATTCAATCAGATTTAAGCTTAAATCAAAAGGAAATTAGCTCAAATTAAGAGGCTTGGTTCATGATTTAAGCTTAAATCTGATTGAATCAAGAGTATTTTTTCTTGTCGATGTTTTTAAGAGTCTGGACTCTAGATCCAATGTGTTTTTTCCAGTGTTCAGTGAAATAATACTCTAAACTGCTTCAAATTCGTCTGCTTCGTCAGGTAATTTTTCTTTCGAATTTTGCCATACTTTGGGTGAAAATAAAGGGGAATTTCATGCCTCAACCGGGGCTGCAAGATTATTCACCAACACCGAACACTCAGCCAAATGCTTGCCAATCCATGGATGAAAACGTCCGAGTGATGGTGAATAAATAATGCATCGCAAAAACCATGAGCCGGAAGTGATCAGGGGAAACGGAAGAGGGTCGAAGCAGCAAAAGGGTTGGAGCTATCAAAGCAAAAAAAAGGAACTACATAAAAAAAGGGAAGAAAAATGAAGTTAGCGTACCGTCGCAGCTGTAAATGCCGTAATGTTTTCCAGAACTACGGTCCCCGCACACTTTGCACGGAATGTCGAGGAGACGATCTCCTGAAACAAATCGTCCTTCCCGTTTAATCCTTTAAGCTGGATTTTTTATTTCCTCCAACTTTCATCTACATTTAAGTCCTTATTTCAGCTTCCCCTCCGTTAACGGAGCAATTTTCTGTATTTTTTTCTTGCGTCACCCGACGATTCTAACTGGAGTATATTCGTATTCATTCAATTCAAGGAAAATAAATGCCGAAAATTATCCCCCATTTGATAGTCAGATGGTCTCTGTCGGCAAAATTCGTCGCTTATGGCTAACAAAGGGGCGTAACTGCCTTCGGAGATGAGCTCGGGAAAGCATTGAGCTGTACGCAATACAGGGTTCATTGCAAAGTGTAGATACGTCCTTATGTCAGAGGGGCGACGAATCGTTGCGGAGACTATCATATTTGTTAGAATCGTGTCTCTGCATTCAATTTTTTTAGTAGGGTGTCTTTCGGTCGAGAAAGATTGCGTTCACATTTGGATTTAAGCAGATTTATCATCGTTCCGACAATCATCATCGTATTTATCGTAACATCGTTCGTATTCGCGCCGCTGCTGGAGATGGATATGGGAGATGATACCACTATTCGACCATGTGGGAGCGTGTGATTGCCTACACTAAAAATTGAACTAAGTGCCACTCGCACTTAGTTCTGTGTGGTAGTAATGCGTCCATACGTAAGATAATACGCACTTTTAATACTGAATATTCGCCGTGAGCAATTCATTTACAGTATTATATGCTTTTGAATGTAATTCTAAGTTACACAGTTGCGTCTTGTGGAAGTATTGGAACTTTTGATCTCTTCCTTTGCAAAATAAACTTGCTAACTTGCAATCAGATTTTCAATCTCTGTTGGAACTGAGATTGGACATGAAAGTTCAACGGTTAAGTGAAGTTTTTTTGGACAAGCATATCTCGTCAAAAGTCATTTTTAAAAATATGATCTCAAAAATATTCATTAGCGAGTGTTGTATCTTGGACATGTGGGAAACTTATCAATGATAGAACTTGAACTATTCCTCTTTTCAATATGCGGTGTTAAAAATGCCTGATATTTTTAAATTAAATGATGGAAACTTAGCAGCTTTAAATGCGTAAAATATGGCACTTTCAGTCTTCGCCTTTTTGAAAATATTCCTAGAGTATTTCATATAGAGGAAGCAGTCAATAAAAAGCTTTGGCATTCTGAAGCACCCTTGTAAAAATACATGGTATTTGTCATCGATTAGTTTCCTCTACAGTCTTCATCTTTCATATGGTATTATTCACTCAGAGCTCCCGACTAAAACACAGATGTCGGTGATTTTCTCTCTTGTCTCATTATATTAAGAGTCAAATCCTTGAGACATATAAATTACTTTTGAAACTCGTAGTAAAAGTGTAGATAAATAAAAGAAACGCGACACACTGACATTATATGTCAGCTTGCGGGATAAAGAAGTTAGTTTAGGTTGAAGTTGTTCAATGTTCGAGAGAAGAAGTTCAAAATACGTACCTGTTCCCATTCTTCTTTACAGCATAATGAGCCTATTTGCACGCGTATTAGTCCATCTGGAAAATAATTAAATAAAATCCCTGTAAATATGTATACGACTAAACAACTTATCTAGTTACTACATGCTTATGAAGTGTACTCTCAAAAAGATTCTTTTCTCTCACCCTTCAAATACAGTAGCCCGCACGAATGTCCCTCCTCTCCTCGTCCTCTTCAAATACAGACAGGAATCATGGAGACACCTCATTTTCAAGGCAAAGGACTTGAGTCAAGCAAAAACTGTCCCAAAGTTGTGGCTGGTCTTCCTTAATTATCTTTTAACGAATTATTCTGCGCGCTTTAAACAGCGTTGACTAACTTACGTACACGCACTTCAAATTTATTCTGAAAGTAATTCAGTTTTTTATTCGTGAATTAGCACTCTCTTTGGACCTTTTGAAGAGATAAATCGAATAAAAGTACCGTAAAATGTTTACCACTTACGCTCAATCAGTATTCAAGGTTTCAAATTACACCAGAAGCCCACGGCACAATAGCAAGTTTCAAAAATATGGTACTTAATCTCTGACCGACGGATTTGAGTGTTAATGATCGAAGAACTAAACCACGTATCTCCGTTTGCGACGTCACAGACCTCCTGTCATAATTTTTTTTTTCTTTAAAAAGTAGTTAACATAATCTCTTGAAAACTTCTTTATATTCTACTCTTTTAGCAGAAACTTCTTTATAAATTTCAAGCTATGAAGTTGCTTTGTTTTTTCCCCAAAAAAGTAAGATGTAGGTGCAGAAATTATGAACCATACGACCCATAATTATGAACAGATACGTGGTTTTGCACTTTCACCATCGCTATGTGATGTTACGTTTACTTAGAGCTCACCATGAGACACAGATCCAATTTAAGGCACAGATAGATCGCCTTTTGTCACTTAATTATCCAAAACCATCAAATTCAATACAGCTATGTCAGAGAGGCCCAAAATGCCTCCAGGGGGCTGCACTACAGAGCAGCTACGGGGCGCAACTTTTGGTGTTATCATAAGTCTAATTTAAATTGAAAATAGACTCAGTAGGATTCAATTTTCCATGATTTTGAGTACCGAGTATGAGCTCTGGTACTTAAATTGGAGGTATGAAAAAAACGGCTGACATGAGTTTTTAATTTATGATTTGTGAAATAAATTCGGCAACGCTGCTGAGAGAGGTGGAAGTTCACACGCTTTTTCAAACGCCACTCGGTGTAATCATGGGCAAGCGACTCTTAAATCAAGAGAGGGCGAAAGAGAAACTTTGTTTGTTTCAGCGCGCGGAAACGTGAAATCACCACCGTAAAAAAGGACAACCTCGTTTGGGCAATGTAAACGAGTGTAAAGCAAGCTCCCAGTCAGCTTTGTTTTAATTTTCGGGAAGAGGGGAAGTAACTTGATTTGGATCTAATCCTTCCTTCTCTGGGTCTTTTCATGATTCATTATTGCTCTTCTTTCACCTCCTTTAACAACATCGTCACTCTACTCTCACTTTTCGCTTTTCGATGTTCATTGTTTCAAAATCGCGCTCCGCTGGAAAACCTGGAGAACTTCATAAAATATTTGCTCCGTTAAAATTTGTATTAAATCATCAATGTCCCCTTGGGTTTACTCTCGAGTTTAGATAAATTTCACTCTTGGCTCATAGCCGTCACAGTTGCCTTGATTAAAAATCAAAAATACAAATCCGCAAGTTTCATGCTGTTGATGTAAGAAAGAGAGCGCGGGCTAGAAACGCTCCTTCAACGCGGTGAGTATACTATTTGACCTACTCGAACGTTAAAATAGTTGTATCACGCACCTTGGCTCCCAGGCAGTTTCTAGCACAGTTCGGGTAGAGCAAGGTACAGGCATACAAAGTCACCATTCATTTGTACGGACTAAAGTAGAGTGCTTTGAGAATTCTCATTTAATCCAAACTTTCAGTATCTTACGCACTCTCAGCATACTGTGATTTTTTGTTGATTTCCTTTGCCGATACTTTTCCAGTATGTCAATGAAAACTGTCAAACATTAGATCCAAGTGTATTGTGGGCTACCGTTTATTCTGCTATGAATATTTCATATTATAAATGCCTTCAGAAGTCCAGTAATGTAAAAAAAGGACATACCGCGATGAACTAATTTCCTGTGCATTAAATTGAATTAAGTAGTTTTGAAATGTTCGTCATATCAAATGATCATTTTTAAAAATGTGAGGAAAAGACAATGTGTTTCCTTAAAAAGGTCCTCTTGCTTAAGGGACCTGCACTTGATGTGTACAATACCATTAATGTTCGGGTCTGAGTGGGAGAGAGTGAGAAAGGTGGAGGAAGGGACAGAGAGGAAAGAATTGGTGTTTTAAAAGGATATATGAGGAGACTACAAGGTACCTCGGTCAATTTTTCCACCAAATCCTCCTAGACAACCTCACATCTCTCTAAAAATGTTGGTTATTTCGGATAAAATTTATCGCTTCAGAAAAGCCATTTTCGAATGAAGCAGCTAAAAGATCAGGAGAAAACATAACATGCATACCACCATGCAAGGCTCATACGATTGTTTTGCGTCAAGAAGAATCGGAGATTTTTATTTTTAGGTATCTTATGGGACTGCAAAATTCCCACCCATTTTTCATCGTTAAAACTGAAAATTACCTCAGTTTTTTTCGAACACCTCCCAATTTCTCAAAAGTCGGATTTTCAGAGATTTTTTTCAGCCAGAAGAACTGCCCCTATTTTGAAAAGTCTCGTTAAGAGCCAACCCTTATTAACCAGTGTAATGACCATGTGATCTTAAAGTGGATCTTCAGCTTTTGCGCAATGCATTCTGGGTACGATCCCAAAAATTTAAGCATTACGTGAATTATTTTGGAAAAATCTAAATTTCAGTCTGCAGATAAATCATTAAAGAATGTTCGTATCGAAAATCACCCTCCAAATTCTCAAAACAAATTCAAAAGTACTGTTTCTAATTGGACGTATTTCTACCAAACAGACCTATGTGGCGATGAGAAATGTGGGGTGTGCTCGTGGAAGCTGCATAAGAAGCAATGTAAAAGTGGGCGTGGTTCCTTTTGAAGAATTGGCAAAGCGGGATATTGCATTCTATCAAACAGACCTATGTGCAACTGAATGCGGAACTCATGAGCCGCGGGCATGGCAAGAGAGCCTTGTGGACAGGGCTCATGAGTTAATGAGCACGACTACCGCAACCACGAGGAACGTGACGCGGCGTCCTCCTCCGTTGACGTCACTGGCGCACAATTATTCTCATTCACTCTTACGCAAAGAGACTAACGAGCACACCCCATATTTCTCACTTCCACATAGGTCTGTTTGGTAGAACTACGTCCAATTAACCATCGATATCGATACATTGACTTGATTTCGAGATTTTGGAAGATGATCTTCGGTAGGAACATTCTTCTATGATTTATCTACAGACTGAATTTTAGATTTTCCCAAAATAATTCACATAAAGGCTGAGACATATCGATCGTACCCAGAATGCATTGCGCAAAAGGTGAAGATCCACTTAAAATACTAGTCCGAGACTAATTCTGTCCTCCCTTCATAAATAATTGGATCGCATTTAACAGAAAGGAACCAAGCCACATCAGCTATTGCCAATTTTAACGGGGCAGTTTCATTTTTTACGAGAAAATGTTTGTGCGGATCCCTTTGGAAATGTTAAGGAATTTGCTTCGTACTGTGCAGAAAATTCACCAAAATTTGCACGAAAATCCGCTCAACTGTTTTCATGTAAAAAATTAAATTAGCCAATTTTTGGCAATAGCTGATGTGGCTTGGTTCCTTTCCGTTTAACGCGGTCCAATTTTGAAACACTAAGGAACAATCATCGGCCCTTCAAAGTAGCATCGAGGTCAAAGCCTCACAGGTCGAATGCGACCTGAACTCTCTGTAGGGGATGATCCCGGTATCGACACTCCCGGTAGACGATTTAGGGTGGCTGAAGTAGGAGCACGCACACACGCAACTCCTGATCCGCGGGAGGGGGGGGGTGAGCATCCCTAAACGAGTGTTAAGTGCCAGCGAGAGGCGCAAACTCCCCGGACGAGATAATTTGTTGGTTAGAAAAACGACGTGCGGGGTGGCATCTCGTCAAATTGATAGTTGCGGCCCGGCTTGTGACATTGATTAACATGTGCGTGGGCCCCTCGCCCCCTCGTCGTCCTCCGCCTAATTGGGTTCGACCTGTGCTGCCATGCTAAGCCAGAACGGCGTATGGGCCTCCGGACATTGCCAAGTTTCCTCCGATAAAAACCGAATTTACTGGGAAAATTCTGAATATTGTTTTCCGAAATTTTCAGACAATTTTGTACGCAATCTAATCTAAAATATCTGAAAACTTCAAGAAAAATGGACGCCGTTGGGTTCGACCTGTGCTGCCGTGCTTAGAAAAAACGGCGAATGGGCCTCCGGAAGTTGCCACGTTTCCTCCGATAAAAACCGAATTTACTAGGAAAATTCTGAATATCGTTTTCCGAAATTTTCAGACAATTTTGTACGCAATCTAATCTTAAATAACTGAAAATTTCAAGAAAAAATGGACTCCGTTAAGCAGAAAGGAACCAAGCCACATCAACTGATGCCTTTAATTAAGTGGCCCAATCATTGGGCCAGTTAATTTTTTACATGAAAACGGTTGTGCGGATTTGTGTGCAAATTTCGGCGAATTTTCTGCACGGTACGAGGCAAATGCCTTAAAATTTTCAGAGGAATCCGCACAAATGTTCTCTCGTAAAAATTAAACTGTCCAATTACATTTGGCAACAGCTGATGCGGCTTGGTTCCTTTCTGCTGAGCGCGGTCCAATGTGCATGAATATTGTCAAAAATACATGTTTCATCAAGGGAAATCTGGCAACTCTCGAATGTTCATACGGCGTTCTTCCTTAGCACGGCGGTGTGGTCCCGTGGAATCGGCGATCTCATCCCCCTCCGAGGGGTTTCATTCGTTTCGCACCTTCCCACTAATGCGATACCTTATTGAGCTATCGACGAGTCTCAGTGCTGTGGTAAGATCAGTAATTAAATTCTGGGATGAGCCTCCAGGCACGTAGGAGCGCATGCCAAACGTGGATCGTACATGAATACACTTACGGTTCTCTTCCGTAACACCGCAGCCCAGGTAGCTTGTGAGTGCGGGAGTGCAAGAGCTTCCATTTCTCTTGAATGTCACGAAGCTCACGATGGAGGCTTCCATGAGAAAATGTTATTCCTTCATCAGTGCCTCAGAGACAAGAAGTATATAATTCATAGTGTTGGAAAACTCGAGTTAGTAGTGTTTATGAAATCTCCAATACCGGTTCCGCGTGTGTGTGGAAGATTTGATATCTATATCACACTGGTCATGAGCAACCGAGTCTCAAAAATTGAGATTTACATTGGAAATACTATGGAGCCGACGCGCGATTTTACCCGCACTTTATCAAATTTTAAACCTTTGCACATTCTCAAATTCTAGAACAATTGCGAGTCACTGTACACGGTCGGTAAACATTATAATAATATAATAGATGCATTTTAATATCACGCGGATAAAATTTCACGTATGCACAATAAGAAATTCAGTTGTATCGAACACCAAAAATTGTCGGTTTAACTAACTTAAATTCGGTTCCAAAGACCGAAAACTTTGAATACCTGAACCGATAAAGTTCAGTGTTCAATATGAGCTGAAGCTCAGTATATTTGTAACGGAAATTATTTTCGTAGTGTGGAACATTTTCAGAATTAACATATGAATGAGATATTAATGGTCATGATTTACATCGGAACCAATATATTGAAAGCATTTAAACTGAATCCAGGTCAACTAACAAAACTACTTCGATGTATGAAATTACTTTGATTTATTGAAATAAAACTTGGTATATCAACGACAAAGGATTCATGTCTCAAGAGCAGTAAATGGTTGAATTTTGAGGTGGATTAGCTAAGTAGTATAAAGTAAAATGCACGACTGGAAAAAATGTTATGGACCGATAGCAACAACCTCTCGGTGATATTCTTTTTTACTTAATTTTGGGATAATTTACTGCAAAATTCAATCATAAGCAACTTTTCATCGGATCAGTTCGAGATCTGATTCGAGTGGAATTTTGCATTGTGACTGACGGATCACTTGAATCGATGAACAAATACCAAGAATTTGTTAGATTTGTATATAAAATAGATAAATGTAAATATTAATAGATGAAAGCTGACGGGTGATGCCTAATGCACGACGAACCCTCATTTGCTCAAGTGAGGAAATGGAGGAGGAAAACAAGGGTGTATTTACACCCCTCAAATGCGTACCTTCTTATTCTGCACTTCTGATCAAAATCTTCAGATTTTCTCTCTCAAAATCTCCTCATAAGTTTGAACATTCTCAAAAATCTCTGTGCTGTCAAAAAATTTCGATTCCGTTATAGAGCTGATGTTAATTTTTAAAAGATAGGAAAAATTTAATAATCTCCATGTAAAATTGTACACTTGATAGGGGAAGAGATATTTGATTTAACGGCGAAAAGATGTTCGTGACTGAAGAACCTACTAAGACTCGTTCTCTAAGGAATTACAAAGTTATACCCAGTGTTAGTACCCACACTTAAAAAACCGCAAATTTTACTTCCACTTGAAGACTTTGGAAAAGACGTCTTTTAAAAGGAAGCATGCAACGAAGACTCTAGCCTTTCCGCTAATTGAATCGCTCATTTACGAAAAAGCCCAAGGGTCATGACCTTGTGATTTTCACGTTCACCCAAAGGCTTCACGGTTTTTAAGGCTCACAATATCGAAGTATCAAAGGCCTTTCCGTCATTAAACGTTTCCACTGGAAAAATACCGATATACCCGCAAGCAATCTACATGCAATCAATTGTATACATGTTATAGCCAATGGCCGAAATCATGCAATTAATTTTGACAATGACCGGTTATTTTAGCCATTGTCAACGTTGGCTAATTTCGGTCATTCGCTGTAACTCATGTAAGAATAAATTGAGACAGCTCTTGTAGGATGCAAAAAAGATACTCTCATTTCGAAGCGGAATTTCTGTTTTTGCCATTTTTAAAGGATATTATTCATTGATTTTTTTATTTTTTAAAATTAACCAAATTTGGTCCAGAGCGAGACCCCTCCGTGAAAATATATTTTAGTCCTTTTGAAGCATACATAAGTACACTCAACCCCTCACATGTGCCAATGAAATTTTTTTCCGTGCAGATAATTCATTCGACTCTATTGCTATTTCAACTGAGACAAAAAAAATCAGGTACGTTCCACTTGGTGCGGAGTTTTGCAGCTTTAATAGAATGCATTTAAATTATCGCCGCGACTCAAAATTGTAAAACATGCACCACAAACCGCTGAGTGAATATCACTGCTGCCCGACTAAAGTTTTTTCGTGCACATACTCATTATCATATTGACTTGGAGGATTAAATGCCTAGGTAGCAACATTTTACCGATTTCATTCAGTTTAAAATGAAGGATTCTAGAGACTGCATGGAAATGAGACCAATCATTTCTTAATTTATCGTATCAACATCACGTCATCATCTAAACACATCACATTTTTATTGTTAATGTATGCATGTGAAATTCATTGATTTTCAAGGTTTGGTATTTCATGTTTACCTCATGAAAAAAAAATAAAATTTCGCATTATTTTGCTAATGATGAAATGAATTTTGGTCCATATTTTGATCCTAATGTGGAAAAAATTTATGGTCTGAAAATATTATGGTTAATTGGAATTCATTTTCAAAACCTTATATATCACGGAACCATACTCTTTTTAGTCTTTTGTCACTTGTTTGCAGTCCTATCCTTCAACAGTTGTCTCAAAATTGGAATTATTGGGGGTTTTTTGTACAGTTTTTTGGGGTTTTGAATGAAAATGCACTTGAAATTCTTAAAAAATGTCTGTATCTTGAAATGTACGAAAAAACATCGAGAAAAAGCCCGTACTTGGAAAATTAGAGGAAAAAATCATTCAAATCACTCTTCATTGCGTATTCCTAATTTCAGCTCACACAGGTTACCAGAATTTGGAGTAGAACACAAAAATAGTTGATATCAGGAATAGTTTACCTCTTCCCCATTTAAAATGTGCCAGATCCCTTCTGTAAATGTATGTATCTGCACAGGAATAGTCTTGGAATTTTATACATAATATCTGTGGGGGACCTAATCTGCACGGTATGATTTATGAAAAGAGATACCCCCTAGAAGATATATTTAATTCAAATTAAATTGCAAATGTTAATAGGTACGTAATACCAGGGATAAGACATTTTCTTACGCGGCAACATTCCTCCAATTGGCATGCATAAAGAAGATTTAAAAAGCCTCACTTCCGCGACACTCCAAAAGTGCAATCTAAAAAATTAATTCGTTACCTCTCTCTGTTACTGACGTGCTCGCATATCTAATCGCAATGCATGTTGCCAATGAAGTATCATAAAATATATTGTATCGTCAGCAGAAATTAGTGTTCTACCACTATCTCGCGAAATTCTCTAAGGAATGACGCTTTGACACTCTAAATCCAGCTACCAAATGAAGTACCTATAAAATTCGTGCAGCCTCAATTCTTGGTACGCACTTGCTACTGGCGACGTTTTCTGCTTCATTTTTCAGAATATTTGAGAGGCTTGGAGGACAAGTCGCATAAGAGCAGTTTCTGATATTTCAAGAAATAAGCGTTTAACGTTCTGAACTTTCGTGGAGCTTTATGGCGGAGAGAAAGTTCAAACTCACTTTTTAATGCTTAAAAATTGAATTTTTGCCGTGAATTTTTTACAGTATTTTTAAAGACAGATTTTAGTTAAATAATGTATACCTCATTTTTTTTTCCTTTTTTGAACTACACTTTTGCCTCTTGCCCTCCTACAGGCCCTTTATTCGCGACTCCCAAAAGATTGCGCAGGATTTTCAAAGGTTAAATTTGTTATGGTCAAATGGTTACGGACCCTTTAGAGTGTAATGAAAGCACCGGTATAGATCCTGGGGGGTTAAAAAAAAGAAAGCTCAAAAACAGAAACGTTATGAAGACAGAGGAAAAAAAGAAGAATCGGAAAGAGGTGAAAAATAGGATACTTATAGACTCACCTGGTGGGTTGACCGCAGTCTAGAGATCCACAGATCGATCGGAAATTCTTCCCAACAGGCGAGGTCTCATGTATCAGAAATTGCAAGTCGATAATAAATAACTCGAATAAAAACTAGAAGCACTTCACGAACGACGATGGACTTGAGCGAAAAAACCGACTATACCAAGGCAGAGCGATGAGCCAGCAGGGGCGGATAGCGGAGGGCGTTCTGCTGGTGCGCATTCGGGGTTGTGAGGGCAAGAGGGCACCCAGAGCCAAGCTAGTAGCGGCGGCGGCGCGACAGAATACATGCGCGTGTGTGTTAATTCAGTGGAGATTGTGGACGGCCAAGTGTAGATGTTAGTAAGTCTCGGCCCGGATCCAGGGATCGAGATGGAGATGAGGATCCCCAGGAATGGGAACCCTACAGGTGTCCCGTTTGCGGTTCACGTGATCAGCGCGGAGGCGGGGTCACTCCCTTCGGAGCTTTTTAATTTGCCGCCCCTTCGTCGATGCTCCTCCTGCTCCTTGCAGTCCCTGTATCCGTGTCCTCGTCCCTGATCCCTCCCCCCGCCCGCCAGCATCCCTCCGCCCTTTGCGTCCCTTCCTTGTCTCCTGGCTACTGCTCTTCTCTCCTCTCCGTCGTCCCTTCCCCATCCCGGCACCAGCTCCTGAACTTCTCCACTTGGTGATTTACCTGCCATCGCCTTTCTTCGGATTATCAGCCTGGTTCCTAATGGCGCTAACTCCGGCTTCTATCCTGCTCTAAATTGAACGAGCTAAATTTAGTGTGTTTTCCTTGTTATCCTTCATCCTTTGACTGGTGGATTGCTGATGGCCAAAATGCAAAATTGTATCACATTTGAAAAAAAGAGGGGTGGGGACTATTTTTTATTTCTTTTTTAAATATTTTTGTTGCGAAGTTATTCAATTTTACCATTGAACAAAGTGGTAAAATAGTGCTGGGTCCACACTATTCTTCCGGGAAAGCAATAGGCCAAAAATTCGAAAAACTGATTAGAGTCAGGAATTTGAGCTCTAAAGAGTATCAGTACAAGAGTAAGAAGGAGAGTGTTCAGTTCAGCGGGCTGATTATTGAAATTTATAGACTAAGCTATAGACAGAGAAGACATAGGGAATACGGAGCTATCCTATTGGTTGAATCGGGTGGCTGTTATAGACTCAGGGGGAAAATGATCGACTGACCTTGGGGTATCTCGTGGGTTGCCGTTAGTTAGTCTATTACTTACCTGTTTTGTCCATTGCAACCGCACCCGCCTCCGACAAGAGGATAGCTTTATTTCCAGTTAGTCATCTTTGTCTATATCTTTGTTTATCAATTTCAATAATCAGCCCGCAATACTAAGCTGGGGTCTCGCCGAGGGATCTATAACTTTTTGGGTCTTTTTAGACCTTACCAGTGGATCACACCCGTCACTCTCAATCTTGTACTGATATTCATTTGAGCCCAGATGTAAAGCTGGTAAATTAAAGAAAAAAGAGGATATTAATTTCTTAAAATAATTTTCTTTATAACTTCTGTTACAAGGTTATTAAACTTGACTATTGATAAGACCGTGGTCAAGAGACTACCACGCTAAGAAAAAAAGGAGGACAATCCAAGAATCCTTGCGTTTCTCATACGTATTTATTTGATTCTTGAGAGTTTTACATCTTATTACTTGTGTTTTTTTTAAACGCTTTGTGTTTTGAGTTATGCTTTTATACTGAATCATGCTGCATAGATTTGAAATTAAATAGATGGCCATAAAACGATATGAAACAAACAGTGAAAACTCATAAAAATAATGTTCGATGATTTGCCAATAAAGAAATATAAGTTGTTACGAAATTTTAAAACGCGTCGCAAATTTGTAAACGTATTTTATGGCATTCACTATCGGTGCTTTTATTGGTTACGCAGGAAAAATCGACGAGAGAGAAGTGAAGCAAAATCGACCCGCCTGGCTGTTCCTTTGTTGTTACTTATTAGTTGGTATACTTCGCTTCAGGCGTCCAAAATAAGGAGATGCATATGAATATTTCCGAGTTGTTATCATTTGTGATTGGCATCTTTTTTCTCCGGGGCGAATTGATGCCATAAAATAACAGAAAGCGAACCGTCATGCGAAATGAATGCGACGTTGTCAATTGTTCGTGTAGAAGCGGACAAGGTTCGTGCAAAGGTTTCAATCGAGCAAAATGGGATCATTATGGTCACTTTCTCGCGAGAAGAATCAGTGCCCTTGGTTTCAAGTTCGAAAATTTAGTTTTATCTTCTTTAGTGCCAGTGAAGACGGATCCGGAGAAACTAGACACAGTTTTGTGGCGCAGGTTTAGGGTTATGAGTATTTCATCGCCATGCTTTTATTAAAAGCTGTTCAAAAATCTTTTAGACATCGAACAGAAATATAAATGCATGCATCGAGAGCCGACCAACAAATATAAGGTACTTAATAATACTTTCTAAATGCACCGCGTAGACCCTAATGAATGAATAAATTCTTAAAATAAATTATGGCTTACAGGAATGATTGTCTAGGCATTATAAGGAAGGTCCTTAGGTACACTTTTTTGCCTATCCTTTGAAATGGAGGGGGATTCGTTACTTATTCTTGTTTAAACGCTGAGGTTGCGAAAAGATTAGAATTAAAGAAAAACAGCATAATGTGGACCGTGATCCTTAATAGATATCTGGAAAGCTTGCCTAACAAATGAACACAAAACATGCATGAACAGAGCAATGAACATACAATTAGAAACCTTAAATTTTCACGGTCCGAATTGCGTTTAGGGAACGAGGTGACGAGACGGGATTATTCCAATTCCAACGTGAGAAAAGCGCTGTAAGAATACAATCATCCCTCATGAATAAAACAACAGATTTGAAAGAATTGGATCACCCTTGGAAGTTAAAACGTCATAGAAAACACCATGAAAAGTTGACTTTTCATTCATCTCCCCTCTGAAACCTCATTGGAATCGGATTAGCTAAGTGTAAAGCTCGGTATACTTGGTCTGACTGAACTTCAGACTTAACTCTGTCAACTAGCAAGAGGGTCGCAATGTAGGGGATGGAGTGATGACAGGCGGGATCGAGGGCTTTTTGAGAAGAACAACGCCAACTGAACTGCCCTAAATCCTGCGAAATTATACCAATTGATGACGTAAGTATTTTTGTGTTCAATTAAACAACTTTTACTGCTGGACCTCTAGTTTTATATTTTCTTTGACATCTGCTTTTAAATGGAGGTGCTATGTATTTCCCAGGGTTGTTATACGCAAATTTTCAGTTGTGTTGCTTCAACAGTTGAACTTGATTACTCCATTTTTTTCTCCACATTTTACACTTATCACAATAATCAGTACACTAGAATCTCCATCTTCACAAAGAGCGATTAAATTCTTCAAACCAATAGGTATCTAACTTGAGTAATTAATATTTGTGAGCATGGTTCAATTATACATCAAATATGCAATTTGCATTTATAAAAATGAGATTAATATAATGTGTAATGCAAGTGAGCCTCCGTTTTTGTAAGAATTGGGGATCACAGAAAAGGATAATGCACCGGGTCAAGTTGTGAAACAGGCTCTATTTGGAAATGTATGGAATTGCTGCTTCACTTGTGTTATTCCACAGGAGGACGCAAAGTAAAATTTATTCTTGATTGGAGCACTACGCACACACAGAGATAGAATCACGACGATTAAAATGAATGACATTATTGCTGGCGTGTTAAATAATACAGCATCACAGGATATGCAAATACTTCTTATAATTGGTTTGATTACAAGTGAGGATGAACTTTTTAATATCTTATTCATTTTTTCATGCAAGGATTTATTTATTTTAAAATCTCCCAGTCTGACATATTTAATGTTTTTTATCATTTAACACCAATTGATATTAAGATACGTGTTATAAGAGCTTTTTGATTTGACCCTGCTGCGTGCAGCAGCGCAGCACTGAGGGTACCAGGAACCCTCTCAAGTGCAAAGCAAGTAAGCGCGCCTGCAATCTTTTTGATACGCAACACGGACATCCATCAAGCAGGTATAGTTGTATCGAAGCGCCGTGAACTTTGCGCACTGAATTCTACTAGCCATTATGGACAGAACAAGAACGAAGTGATGAGGACGCAGAAACATCTCCCTTTTCTCATCTGTCTTAAATATCATTACAGAAAATGATACCTTTTTCACAGATCGGTAGTTTTTTAGGCTTTGAATGCCTCTGATATGAGGCTGGCGCTGCGACCCATTAGCTTGACGGATCTAGCGATTCGATGGTGAACGTGACATGAAATATGATAAAATGCTATCTGCGCTCCTGTTCGATTCAGTTTTGTAAAATTAGAAATAGCTGACAAAAGTGCTGGTTCTTTTGCAAACCAAATTAATTTTCATGGTGTTTGAGTCGGAAAGGCTTTAAACCTTTGATTCCCACGGACGAGAATTCACGTCCTCACGCAATCGCACTGAGATTCTGACAAAAATTCTTGTATTGGTATTTTAAAAATCTTCATTTTTGGTGTTATTTATTTAAAAAAAAAAAAAAAAAAAAAAAAAAAAAAAAAACGCGGGTGCTAGTAATTAACTTTTGGTGACTGATCTTTGCTCCTACGTACTTAAGGAAAAGCCCACAAAATTTCAAGCTATTTGGTTTGAGATTTAAGCGAATAAAGGTAAGAAAATTAAAAACATTCATTTTTGCATGATTTCCCATCCACTGAAAAAAATCTTGAAGGCCGTCCTTACGGGCTATAAAGACATACCATCCGCGTTCCGGGCTCAGAGGCCGAAAGTTCCGGATGTAGCACCCGGAGCAGTAGAAACTACGACTCCACCCGATACTGTCGGCCTCTAAGTCCGAAACGGACGGTATATCTTTAAAGCCCGTAAATTTTTTTACAGTGTTCTTTACATATGCTGGGGAAGGGGGGTGAAATTCTAACTCAGGAGTCAACATGTTAAAGAAAACCGATCAGACTATCGGCTCATCTCCTAAGATGATTTTAACCATTTAAATTTTCAGAAATAAAACTTCCCGCTTTCTTGCCGACAGCGAATCAATCAAACCGTCACGAGGCGGGCTTAAAATACAAAGAATATAAAAAAATCAGCAAATTTGCAAGATGCCTTTTCTTCGCTCGACTCCGGCCGGGGCCTGAGAAAATCAAACTTTGCCCGAGGAAGGGAGACAAGTGGCGAAAACGTGGTCGGAAGCTAATGAATTTTAGAAAAGATTTCCCGGTCGAGCTAGGGCCCGAGGCGAGGCCGTGGCGGAAAGCAAAGAGCGTCTCGGTCGAAGAGAGAGGGGGGGGGAG